TTGTTCATTCTGAGCACGGTTCGCTGTCGGCGTCGCCGCGGTCTTGGTCCATGTGAGACAGAAGGCCGCCTGCCCAACAGCGGCTGCTGTCGATTTTGGACAACATTTGTTGTTGGCCATCGTAATTACTTATTTTTGTCCGTGCACAGTTCGGGCGTCTGCAATCTGGGCCCGGTGCAGGTTTCCAAGGGGCAGGAAATCAGCAAAGACTTCCGGTCGCGATGCTTGACTTTCGCGCCCGCTTCGTTTAGGCCTCCCAGTTGGGGTCCGAGCAGATGGGGTCAGAGGATGGCGCCGCATCGCCGATGCATCGGCGACGCGGCTCGATGTGGAGCCCGACTTCCTCCGCGCTGACGTCGCCGATGCATCACCCGCGTCGACGATACATCCTCGATGCGTCGCCACTGCATCGGCGGTGCCGCGCGATCCTCCCGCCCCGATGACTCCGACCCCGTCTGGGAGGCCTCTGCGTCCTCCCTGTGGTGATGAAGACCAAGTGCCACGACGGGAGGTTTTGTGGGACGGGAAAATGACCACAGCCACTGCTTCTTGTTTGCGCCGCCTTCCAGCCGGCCGAAAAAGAAGCAGTGGATGTGGTCATCTCCCTGGTGCCAAGCTCAACGAAAATGACCACAACCATTGCTTTGTTTCTGCGGGCTGGAAGGCGGCAACAAAAGAAAAGCAGTGACTGTGGTCGTTTTCACGCCCCCTAGTTTTGCCCAGTTTCTTCGGGAGCCCCAGCCGGGCCCCGGGGCCGTCCAAAAACGACTCGGGACGAGAAAGCGGCCCCAGGGGGAAAGGGGCAGGGACTTCGGGGGCCCCGTCTTAGGAGGAGGAGGAGGAGGAGGAGGAGGAGGAGGAGGAGGAGGAGGAGGAGGAGTTGATACAATCAGGACAGCGCATGTCTGGAGGAAGCAAGGCGGGGACGAAGACCAAACTTCACGACGGAATCGTTTCTACAGATTTTCAGTCCCTCGGGGCCCTTAGAGGGCAGAATCGAGGAGATTTGATATCTCAAGGGGGGGAAGCAGGGAGACCCATTATCGAAGACGCCTGCGGCGAATCACCGCCGCCCCTGCCTTTTTGGAAGCGCCTGCGTGGCCGAAAGTTGGGTTTGAGCTAGGCCAAGCTACCGGGCCACGCGTTCCCCGAGTGGGTTTCGAAAGCTTTCGGGGAACACGGAGTCGGGCGAGCTATCGGACCAGGTGGTTTCCGAGCTTTCGGGCCTTCCTGGAGGACGTCTTGGAGGGGTCTTGGGCCGTCTTGGAGGCCTCTGGCGGGCACTTTGGGCAGTCTAAGGCCATCTTCAGGCCATCTGGGGCCATCTTGGGTTCATCTTGGGGCCATCTTCGCCGTCTTGGAGGCCTTCTGGGCCGTTTTGGAGGCATCTTGGAGGCCATCTTGGCCGTCTTGAGACCATCTTCGTGGGGGCCTGTTGGGCTGTCATGGGGCCATCTTGGAGGCCTCTTGGGCGCTCTTGGAGCGATCTTGGGGGCCTCTTGGGCCGTCTTCAGCCGTCGGAATGGAAGAAGCAAATGCCAAAATCCGTCAAAACTCTACGAAAATCAATGATGTTGGCCTCTTCGGGCCCTCCTGGAGGACCTCTTGGAGGCCTCTTGGGACGTGTTGGGCCGTCTTGGAGGCTTCTCGGGCGACCTTGGAGGTATCTTGGACTCTCTTGGGCCGTCTTGGAGACCGTTTTGGATCATCTTGGGCGGACTTGGAGGCCATCTTGGACCATCTTGGAGGCCATCTTGGGCCAACGTGGCCATCTTGGAGGCCATCTTGAGCCGTCTTGGAGGATTTGTTGGGGGATTGAGGTCTTTGGCAATCTTTTCGGGTGGTCGGCGGGACGGGCCGAATCCCCAGGGGGAGTTCTTTTGGAAAAGAACCGAAACCAAAACCGAAAGGGCTCTGCACGCCAGGCACCCCTGTGATGAATCAACAGGGGGCGGCGGATCAAAGACGCCTATGGCGAATCACCGCCGCCCCCTGCCCTTGTGGAAGCGCCTATGTGGCCGACAGCTGGGCTAGAGCTTGGCCAGGCTATCGGGCCAGTTTTTCCCCGAGTTGGTTTGGAAAGCCTTCTGGGAACGCGTGGGGGAGCGAGAGTTTTGAAATCGCCCATGTGTCCGAGCTTTGTGGCAAGAGCTTTGCCAAGCTATCGGACCATGTGTTCCCCCAACCGTTGTGGAAACCCTGCGGGGAACACTTGGGGGAGGATGGCGGGGAAGATCAGGAGGAGGAGGGTGAGGAGAAGGATGAGCCTGCACGTCCAGACATGCTGTCAGGACACATCCTGGCGGCGGGTTCCCAATGATGCTGTAGGAGGCAACGATATACGTCAGCCCCGTCCGTTCATCATCTCATAGCCCCCTCAGCCGATGAAAAAGCCGTCGTCGTCGCCGTCGCCGTCGTCGTCGTCGTTATCGTCGTCGTCGTCGTCGTCGTCTACGTTCTGTCGTCTGCGTCGTCGTCGTCTTTATCATCGAGGAAGGCCCGAGATTCAATGCGCCCCAAGGAGGTCCAATCTGTTCCACGAGGGGGCTCCAGAAGGCCCAAACTTGCCCCTTTTCTACAGGACGATGTACCTGTTCAGCATTTTCGCCCTTGGGGTCTGAACGGGAGTCCAAGACGACCCAAGAGGCCCCCAAGGTCGCCACAAGGCAGCCCAAGAGGCCCCGAAGAGGACCGCAGGACGGTTCAGGAGAGCCCCAAAGGGAAGCATTCCAGACCGCCAAACAGGCCCAAAAGACGCCCCAAGAGGGTCCCAAGAAGACCCCACAGAGGTTTCCAAGAAAGGTATATCGTCCCCAATCATTCGGGCAAGCTAGCATGTTTAACATATCCGCTCTTTTGGTCTGAACAGCGTCCACGACGGCCCAAGATGCCCCAAGATCGCCCAGAGACGGCCCAAGAGAGCCCCAAGACGGCCCAAGAGCGCCCAAAGACGGCCCACGAGGCGCCCAAGATCGCCCAAGAGGGCCCCAAGACGGCCCCAAGAGGGGGAACACGAACTGACAATTCGAGCCTTCCGCCCCGCGGGCTCGGAGGAGCAATGCTTTGGCGCTATAGAGCTGCATTGTTCCTGGCCCATAGCTTGGCGACAGATCACCGGTCGACCGGTCGATGAGAGCGGAGGATAAGGAATGAGGCAGGGGCAGGAGGAAACAGAGAATGTTGATTTGCATTTGCATCTATGGGGTAAATCGACCAGCAGGGCCCAGGCCACGCCAGAGGGGATGAGGATCGGTTAAACGATGTTCAGTTTGCCTCCTCCTGCTGCTCCTCGAGCCGACGGAGCGCGTCGGAGCGCTCCCCGCGGGCTCGGAGGAGCCATGCTTTGTGGTGCAGAGTGCCGCGAGGGTCGATCCTAGCCGCAGGGGAAAAATAGATTTTTTTTTTCTGCAGATTTGCACGTGCGGGCTTCTTGACACGAGTTTCATTGATTGCCCCAAGTGCTCCGCAGCCACGCTCCCTCATGTACTAAGAGTATGCGTTTCGGTAGACACGACAGAGCTAACCGTGTCAGTGCATATCACAATATGGTTCAGCATGCCATAACATCGCATTCCATAGCAGTGTCTAGCTGAGCCTAGCACTGCACGTCACGACGTAACAGTGTCTAGCATGACATTGCATCTCATGGCACATCGTGGTCTTCTATGAACCGAACAGCACCGTAATGTTCTGCGCTACAGTAAACAGACATCATACAAATATCACACCCCCGTTGTTGCTCTTACTGCCGTCCTGTTTATGTTAGCCTAGCAGCTCATAACATGGCATCGCATTGCACTGCATTGCATTTCATTGTGTAGCACGCTATGTCTTGTCTGTGCATACAATGTAACGTGGTAGCACCGCTCTCCATAGGAAATATCGCATGATATGGCTCAGCGAATCATCCCATACATTATCATAGCATGTCACAGCACAGCATGGCATGGCATGTAATTCGCACCTTCAATTATAGCATGTTATTACATTGCATACAGCATAGTGGCATCGCGCGCTATAGCGTAGCATGGTGTATCATGGCATTTCATAGCATAGTGCAACAAGAGAGGCAGGCACGTTTACCTTGGCGCTTCCAGGTGCATATCAGTACGACTTCCCTTGTCCCCTCTCAAGATCCTCTTCCTCACGCGTGCGACGGAAGTGCTTCTGGTTTTTTCGCCAGTGCCCACTAGGGGCACATCTGCTTGTTCGCCTCCTGCAAGCTTCGCAAAGGAACAACCATACGTAGTCGATGTAACCTTCCGATCTCATAGTCGAGTTTGTTCAATCGATCACACTACCGATCGCAGTTACGACCTCTCTGTCGGCATCATAACCGATCACCATCGATCTCACTACCGATTTCACAGTTGAAATCACTCTATCGATGCCACGGTCGATTTCACGATCGAACTCACGGTCGATCTGACCATCGATATCACTATCAATTGCAATCGATCTCACCGTCGATCTCATTATTGATCTCATTCAATCGTTCTCACGATCGATCTCAGTGCTGTTCCAAGTATCAATCTCACGATCGATCCGATGCTCTCTTGGGCTGTGGTGGCGCTCTGTTTGGGCTCTTGGACCATTATGAGACTCTTTGGAGGCTCTGGAAACCTGGGGGGGTGCGTTGAGCAGCTCGTCTACCCCCCTCCCCGAGCCCCCCCCCCCCCCTCTAATCCGATGTTGGACCCCTGGGGAGGGGGCAAAGGGGAGTGGGACACCCACATGTCTCACACGTCTTGTCACCCCGGGCAAGCGAGGGTCGGCTGACGCCTTCACCCAAACTCATCATTCCTGTCCCTTCCCCTCTCTCGCCCGTCATCCCCGAAAATGGGGAGGCGGATGATCCCACTGTGCTGTAACGCTTCCCTGGCCTGCGCTAGAACCTAAGCGCGCGCGAAGCGCGCGCGTGGTTTCTAGTGTGTGTGTATATATAACTATATATAACTATATATATCTAACTAAATATATGTATATGTATGCCTGTAACCGTTTTGGCTCAAGCTGTTGCAGCTTGACCTGTCCGGCGGGTTCCGCCGATCCGTATGCAAATAGTTCATCGCCTGTCGACCGTACTACTTGAGCCAGGATGGGCGATGGCTGCGCGGAGGGCGCGGGGAGCCCCCTTGCGGGCACGATCGCCGATATGTCGCAGTACGGCTCGCTCACCACCCAGGTGAACGCGCCGCACATGATCTCCAAGATGAAGTCCAAAAAGCTCTTCCCGGACTTGCAGGCCAAGGGGGCGCACGAGGAAAGCCAGATCGTGACGTATGACCAGCACTCCATAAGCGACATGAGGGTTCTGGTGTGGCCATGGGTTGCCGGGTCCATCTTCCGGAGGCGGAAGATTTGGTGGCAGATCGCGGCGTATTTGGCTCTTGTGGTGCTTCTCACTTTCTCGCTGCTCATGATCATGGAAAAGCCTTACGTCATCGATTACCAGACCGCCTCAGCATTGTCTGCGTACTTCAACGTGTTCCTGCCATTTCTTTTTGGCATCTACCTGAACAACGTTTTTACACGTTGGTGGACTATGCGCACCTTGGGTATCGGCGACCTCAACAACTCTGTGAACAACCTGTGTGTCATCGTGGCCTCGCACCTGAGGGGCCCAGAAGGCGTTTGGCCCAGGCGCCTGCTCGTGCGGTACGGGCTCTTGAGCCTCGAGCTCATCTACCGCGCCGCCCGGAATACCGACGGTGACTTGTCGGATTTGGTCAGCAGCGGGTCACTGTCGCAGAGCGAGGAGAAATCCTTGGTCGATCTGCCTGGTCCGGTGAAGGGGCAGGCGGTGTGGGCCTGGGTGCAGATGCTGATGGACGACCAGTTCCGGATGCAGCGGATCCCTCGAGAGCTCAACATGCCGGTGCAGAATGAAATCATCAAGGGCCGCACTGCCGTGAAGACTATCTTCACGCACCTGAACACGCCGATGCCGTTTGCGTACGTGCATCTGATGGCATGCCTGGTGCACGTGAACCTGCTCCTTCTGGTGCTGCAGGCAGGCATGGTATGCACACAGGCCATCGGGAAGATTTTGCTGCTGAAGTCCAAAACAGAGACGAAAGAGCACCTGGAGGCTGTCGGCGTCCACGAGGACGGCGCGGCCGGCATGCACCTGTTCGCGCAGGTGTTGCTCGTTGTGATGGTGCCCATGCTCTACCTGGGCTTCCTGGAGCTCGCCTACGAGATCACGGACCCCTTCGGTACTGATCACAACGACTTCCCCCGGGCGATGATCCACAACACCATGCAGGACGAGTGCGAGGGCATCTTCAAGGCAGCAGAGGCACCGCCTGCGGAGCTGGCCTCGGTGCTCAGGGCGCCCGCCGCTGCTCCGGGAGCTGAGCCGTCCGCGGACCGGGTGTAGGTCCCCGGTCGTGCCCTCCGCCATCGTGGCGTGAGCGTTGCACGAATGTTGCCATTTGCCTATTGGTCCACCCCTCGGACACGCTGTAGTGCCAGGGCGGACGGGCGGCCCGCTCAGGCGAGCCGCTGCCCATGTGTGCCACCAACGCCGCCTTCTTCGCCGATGGCGAGGAGATTCGGCCGTGGCCTGTAGGACGTAGCCAGGCCAGCCACAACTGGGGGAGTTGTGGTCCTTACCCCCCTGGGGGACTCATCGATTTCGACACCCCTCTCGAGGGATCGTCGATGCGATGGGTTCCCCCAGGTGGGTAAGGACCACAGCTCCCCCTGTTATGGCTGGTCGGGTAGCCTCGCGGAGAGATCCCCGCAATCAGTGTGCCAGCTTCGGCTCCCCCTTCTCTGGCCTTCTCTAGGCCCGCCCCCTGGCGAGCAGACGGGACCGCTGCCTTTTCCGCACCTCGGCGAGCGGTGCGGCGAGCGGGCGGCTGCAAAAACAGATACACCCTAGACGATGCTTAAGAAAACGTAAGTTTTTGTCCAGAGTCTCAATGATTCTTAACTTTTGAATGTGAATCCTAACATTTTGATCGAAATTTTGGGTTTCTAATCAAATTCTGAGACTATGATTTTCTTAACCCATGATTTCTTAAATATTTCGCAGGGTGCATTTTGTTTCGAGCGATCCCCACCGAAGCCTTAAACGTTTGTTCCCGGCGGCGCGCGGTCGCCCAATTGGTGGAGCGCTGTGCGCGGGGCCTCGTGGTCTCGGCCAGTGCGTCGGTCCGGGCCGGGTGGCGAATGCCGTCGTCTCCAAATCCAACAAGCCCAGAGCTCCTGACGAAAGAAATGGAAAGGAAGCCGCCGGGGGCGAAACAACAAGCGAAGAAAGCCGCCGGGTGGCGAATTCCATTGTCTCCAAATCCAACAAGCCCAGAGTTCCTGACGAAAGACATTGAAAGGAAGCCGCCGGGGGCGAAAAAGCAAGCTTCGAAAACGTGCGGTGCGAAACGGAGAGTAGAGAGTCGCGGCTCTTCTTTTCGAAAGAAGAAGGGGAAGAGCATTAGCAGGAGCAGCAGGAGGAGGAGGCCGACGACGAAGGAGGAGGAAGAGGAGGGAGGTAAGGCAGACCTCTTCTCCCTACTTTACCTCGTCCTCGTCCTCCCACCACTGCACAGCTGCCGTTTCTGGATTCAAAAACGGTTCAACCGTGTTCCATGTAGTCACGATCTTTCGTGTTATTTCATGGTCTTTTCTCGACGTACCATCTTCTTTGGCACCATCTTCTTTGACATGTTATGGTATGTTTTGCCCTGTGGCACTAGTTTATGACTTGATATGCTGTGTCAGGTTATGGTATAGTTATTATGTTTTGTTCCGTGATGCTGTTGAAAGTTCTGCTCAGTATAGCATAGTATGATACGCGTTGCTAGCATGTTTCGCTATGCGTTGCTGTTGTGGTATGGTATGATCTTTGATGCTGGTCTGATATGATACGGTATGTTATGTCAAGGTGTGTTATGGTATGCTTGGTTATGTAATGATGTGCCGTGTTCGGTCGTGTTATGTTTTGCCATGTCCTGCTCTGGTATGTTCTGTGTGTTGACGGCCCCGCCTTCTATAGTGTATTATGATATTATCAGCTAGTGTGTGTCGTTATGTTATGATGCCGTTTTCTGGTATGTTTATCATGTTGTGTCTTGATCTGAATTGTTCTGTCAAGGCGTGTTGTGTTATGTTCGGTCATGTTCTTATGCTGTGTTATGTTCTCATATGTTATGTCATCTTCTGCTCTGGTGTGTGATGGGATGTTATGTTATACTCTACAGTGTCATGCATTTCTATAGTATGTTCTGTCATGTTCTGTCATGGTTGAGGTCTGTTATGTCATGTTATGTTGTGTCATGGTGTGTTCTCTCGTGTTCGTCGTCGCTATTCTCTGCTGCCGTGTTATGGCATGTTCTACAACTTTGCGTCATTATATTAACTATTATGTCAAGGTGTGTTCTGTTCTATTCCATGTTATGGCATGGAGTGGCGTCTTCTGTTATGTCATGCGTTGCTCTGGTATGTTATGTGATGCCATATTTGCTGACGGTCCGGCTCTGTATTATCTATAATGATTTGTTCTGCTAGTATGTGTTATGCTCTGTTGTCGTGCTGTGATCAATAATGTGATGCTGTGCCATGCTATGATATGATATGTCAAGGTGTGCTATGTTATGCTCGACTCTGTTATGGTATGGTATGTTGTGTTCGTTCGTCCTCTGTTCTGTCATGTTCTGCTCTGGTATGCTATGGAATTGTCTGCTTTGCTCCATGTTGTTATGACATTGCTATGGTATGTTCTGTCGTGCTCTGTCATGTTTGTGTCATGTTATGTCGTGTCATGGTATGTTTTGTCGTGTTCGTCGTCGCTGTGCTCTGCTGTCGTGTTATGATACGTGCTGTGATGCTGTGTCATGAAATGAACTATTATGCCAAGGAGTGTTATGTTATGCTTGGTTATGTTATGTTATGTTGTGCTCTGCCGTTGCCTGCTCCGTCAGGTTCTGCTCTGGAATGTTATGTGAGGTTATGTTATGCTCTACTTTGTCATGGCATTGCTATGTTATGTTCTGTCATGGTCCGTCGTGCCCGTGTTCTGTTCTGCCATGTTGTGTTTTGTCGTGTTCGTCGTTGCTATGGTCTGCTGTCGGGTTATGATATGTTATGTGATGCTGTGCCATGGGCAGTGGTGTTATGGTGTACTTGGTTGTGTTATATTATGTTGTGCCATGTCGTCTTCGGTTCCGTCATAATCTGCTCTGGTGTGTTCTGTCATGTTATGTTATGCTCTACTTTGCCATGCTATTGAAATGTTATGGTCTGTCATGCTCTGTCGTGCTCTGTTCCGTTCTGCCATGTTCTGTTCGGTCATGTTGTGTTTTGTCGACCCAGGACTCCCAGAGATCATCGGGACAACTTGGGGTCTGGTGACCGCGGCATGCACGGTGGGGTTGGCCAGGCGCGAGGCGGCACACACGGGACTCTCGGGGACCATCGGGACAATTTGAGGTCTTGCGGCCGCGGTATGCAGGTTGGGGTTGGCCGGGTGGCCTATTCTTGAAATCCAATTACCCCAACTTGTCGGGTCGGGAAACATGCTTTCAACATATATTTGCGGTGGCATTTGTGCATTCATAGTTTCCATGAGATTGCATGTTCAAGCCGTTTGGTCTTGGCATGGAAGACGTGTTCAAAATTCACGGGCGCATTGCGCCCGAAAAAGAACCCTGTACGAGAGCGCATGCGTTTGTTGAACATCGTTGTTGCCCCGATTGCCTCGCACGGCTGCGAAATTTGTACCATGGACGAAGCGACTTCGGACCGGTTCAAGGTGACCTGGAGAAAGATGCTCCGCAACACGTTTCGTTCTGCGCGTGGCGGAACCAGACGGTCAGCAGGCAGACCTTCTCCGAGGTGGAGCGATTCTCTCCGCATGCAGCTCCTGATTTGTCCGTTCGACTCACGGCGCCGTCTGCTCCTGGGGGGGCCTCTGCAGCACTGGAGCCGGCACGCAGACCGAAGCGAACCGAACCTGGGCCCTCATCTCAGGCCCAGGGCGGGGGGCGGGGGCGGCGCCGCCGAAGTCCCCAGTGGGAGGGTCCGCGTGCGGCCCCCCGCCCGTTTCCGCGCCCTCCCCGCGCCCTGCGTGACGCTGTGCAACCCCGCCGATGGCCCCAGAGTGGGAGGGCCCGCGTGCGGCTTCCTGCCCATGTCGGTTCGGTTCGCTTCGGGGGAGGGCCCCCAGACCGTCAACAAAATGATCAGGAATGAGGAGCAAGGGTCTCGACCTTCGGGGAGCCGCGCTGGCGACAAGACACGGCTAGGGTCGGGCACGTCCCCCTGACAGGAGGACTATTCAAACATTGTTATAAAACATAGCCTGGGGACGATCTTCGAAAACTAGTTCTGACCATGCTTGCGTATTTGAACAGCTTGTTATCTTTCGTCCAAAAATCCGCCTGTGGGGGGACATGCCCGACCTAAAAAACACAGCGCTTCATGTCCAGGGCGTCCTGCCGCCGCCCGCAGCTCAGACTGGGGCACGGCCGAGATGGGGACGGGAAGGAAGTGGGGACGAAGACCACATATCACGGCGGGAGTTGTCAAGATTTCCGGATGTTCGGGGCCCCCATTGGGCCCCGGAACCGTCAACAAAACGACCCTGGATGAGGCTCGGATCCCCAGGCAGGTGGGTCCAGACCTGTTGGGGGACCACGCTGCGAAAAATCGGCATGTCGGGTGTCTAGGACGTCTGGCCGCCGCCAGCAGCCCAGCCTTCGGACGATCGAAAATGGGGACAAGAGGAGGGGGGACGAAAATCAACACCACGGGCAGCGCTAGGGGGGACAGGCTCACGGGGGAACGCATCGACCCCGAATCGCCCACTGATCGCCGACAGGGGCCTGAAAGCCCACCCCGGCTATGATCTAGTAATCTAAAGCCAATGTGTGGGCGATGTATCGCCGATTCATCGCCGATTCAAGTTTTTTCCCGCGCAAAGTTCAGGCCGTCGTGTCCAGTTCCAACAGGCTCGCTGTCAGTGTCGCCGAGAACGTTGTCCGCTCGAGATAAGCAGCCGCCTGCCCAACAGAGGCCGCAGCCGGTTTTGGACAACATGTGTCTGTGGGCATCGTACCAATTTTTCCCCGCACCCGTTTCGGGCGTCCTGACCAGACGCCCGGCACCTGACAACCAATGAGGGGACTGGTTTGTTCCCGCTTCTGCCTTATGAACGCCGGTTTGTCGGGGGCGGCCAAGAGGGGGCCGTCCAAGAGGGGGGGCGCAAATCATGGCCATGGGCATGTGCGCGGCCCAAGGGGGGAGGGCTGGGGACATATTGAAATACGCAGAGGCCCCATGAAATTTGAGGAGATATCATGGCCCCCAAAAATAACCTCCCTCTTGGCCGCCCCTGAGTTTGGGGGTTCAGCGCCGTCAAACTAAACGCTCGGCCGGCCCTGCGGAACTGGTCGAGAGATCAGAGGGCCCTTGCATCTTCCACAATCGAAGTGCGGGATGTCCGGGAGTCGCTTGCTGCCAGTCGCCGCCGCCCCATGCTTTCTCCACCCTCCAGCGTCCAGCGTCGTGATTTTGTTGTAACGTGGGCCCCCAGCGGTCGGCACCCGTTCTCTGGGACCGGCCGTCCGTCCAGCCCGAATCCTTGTCGTCCGTTGGCATTGTGCTCGTTCCGATGAGCCATACGCCCGCCACCCAGTCCGTCCCCAGACATGATCGCGTCGTAAAAAAATCAGGACGGGAGGTTTTTGCATATTTTCGACCTCGGGGGGCCCTCGCCGGGCCTCGGGACCGTCAAAAAACGACTCAGGACGAAAAATCGGCCCCGGGGAAAGGGCCGGGACTTCCGGGGACGCCGTCCTGAAAAAATCAGGACGTCGCATGTCTGGGTCGTGTCTTCGTCGGATTGACTGGCTTTGCTTCGTTATCATCATCGTTTCGGCCCTAAGGGGT